AAGAAAGAAAGAAAGAAAGAAAGAAAGAAAGAAAGAAAGAAAGAAAGGCGACTCTGGATTCCCGCAGGTGGCTCCACCAGGTTTATTGGGTCAGAGGAGTGTGCGAATGGGGGCGGGGAGGGAGTACCTGTAGTAATCCTCCTTGCAGTAAATGCTGCCGTCCTTGGCAAAGCAGGTGAGCTCGGACTCCAGGGCCAGCTTACATTCACAGCACTTCAGGCACCTCAGATGCCACTGCTTGTCTACGGCCAGAAGATAGTACCTGTCGGAGATCTTGCCCCCGCAGCCGGCGCACAGAGCGGGCTTCTCCGGACTGAGAGGAGGCATGCCCTGTGAAGCAAGCACAAGGCAAAGCTGACGGAAGGCGTGGGGCACAGCCGCACAACCCGGGACGCCTTCAGCAGAGCGAGTCCCCAGCGCAGGAGCGGGTCTTACCAGGGGCCACAGCACACAAAAGCAAAAGTGGGGAAACTTTCCCAATGTCTCCCTTTTCAACAACCAGTTCCCCTTCTTAGGGGATTACCTGGACCAACATTCCGGTCCTCCTGGACCTGTAACCCTAAAAGCAACCGGACTTTCAGAGCCTAGAGAATGTTTTGATAGGTGGTCCAGAATTAGAATAGTTAAGGCTAAAAGTTTGTGACTTTCAAACTGAAACAATACACAAAATAAAACAAAGCTGATATCGAGAAGTAGAAAAAATTCTAAAGTACATGGATTTTTTTTTATACAAGCAATACTATAGTTCTATTTTTTTGAATTTTAATTGGTGAAGTAATTTGGCCGGCATTGTGATTCGGACATGCTTAGCAGATGTTTCTATTCTGTAAGTTCAAGGCCGTCTCCCTGTTCCGGTAAGGAAGTGAAGCGCCTATTCCGAAGGAAAGACCCCCATCCAGTCTTTTCTCTAGCCAGCATAAATAACACAAATCTTTCTCTTGAAAATTTGATTCCCAAATTAAGCTTCTTACTTAGGTCCCAGCTGAGACTAGCAAAGATGGTAAAATTCACTCTGAGGATCCCAGTCGAATTTGGTTGCTGTTTTTTATTTTTAAATAAAATAGCCGCTAAAGATGAAACTAAGTTACTCGCTGGATCGTTTCTTCAGACTAGTAGAAATAATCCGGGCTTCCCTTACTATATTTTGGCGACATGGAAAGGTTAAGTCTCGCCTTTTTCTCGGATAGAGGGTTCTCACTGTATTAATGGTGCAAACGACGGTAGTGGACTTTTAACAAGATCCAAAACCTCGCCGACCGGCTAGAACCTTCTTGGTCAGTTTGAGCTACAGTCCCCGCTGTGATATGAAAGCACTTCACAGCCCTGTTCGCCCGGAATCATTTCCGCGGACTTCTGTAGTTTTCTCCCTCCAGTCCATAAGTGAACAGGGGAAATGCTTAGATTACTATTAATTTCACGAAGACGTGACTGCTCTTAAGAATAGTAACCGGCAGTCGTAGGTGATTGCTTCTCTTAGATTTGTAGAGTTCGGTCGTGTTTCTGCTTTTAGACAAGGGGGCCGCTCCTCTTTTTTATTTGATTTCCCGCTACATAAGATAACCTCTCCATAAGAAAGAGAAACGCAATTTTGTGACCAGGGTAGCTGAAGCGGCATGCAGGCCCTAACAATCTCTGGATTCGGGGGCTGAATTCCTCGCGTTCGAAGAATTGGAAACCGACCAGCGCGTCGGGGACTGCTGGGAAGGTCTGGTCTTCCATCCCAGAGACTTGTGTCCCACGGCTCCAGTCTGTCCGGTATGCCGTGCTGGCAAACGGTCCCTTAGTACCTGCACCAAGGCTACCCCTCTGGACTACAGGTCCGGCCTTGCGGCCGAGTCACTAGAAACTGGAGTTTGGGGCTGGCAGGGAGCACGCCCGCTCCTTCCAAATCCTGCAGCCCTGCTCTCTCGCGCCCAGCCGCTATAAAAACTGGTGCTCTCAGGACCGCAGCATCCCAGATACCTCGATTCCTTGCCTAGCAAGCAGACCTCTCGAGAAAACCTAGCGAACGTTCCCAGGCAGACGTCCCCGCGACCCACCACCCCCAGCCTGGGCAGGCCGGAGGGAGACTCGCAGTTTCTCCATCGCCGCTCTGGGGTTGGTCCTTACCGCGTCGCGGCCGTTGAGCTGAGTGCCTTTGGCCAGACGGGCCTCGGTCTTCGATCTGCGCTCCATCTCCTCCATGATGCCTTGGATGTGGCCTCCGGAGATCCCGTGGAAGAGCATGGCTGGGGGGCGGAAAGGACACGAATTGTTTTCGGCGCGGCACCCCACTATTTCCATAAACACACGCCTGGGGCTCTCAGTTCATCCGCGTGAAGGAAGCAAAAGGGACAGCACCAAGCTGTGTGGTGAAAGAGCGTAGAGACGCGTGGGGACAGCGGCAAGAGAGAAAAGAAGAAAACGACAGAGTAGAAATAGATCTATTTGAGAGGGGAAAAGACCCGGGCAAAAATTAAAAACGAAAAAAAAAAAGAGAAGGGGAAGGGGGGAAAAAAGGTCCGGCGTTTCCCAGAAGGAGATGTACAGAAAACAAACAAACGCGGAAGGAGGGGATAGCAGGAGAATCTTAACTGAGCGAGAGATCGAGTTACTAATGGGAAACAACTGCCACGGGGGTTATGGGGGGGGGGGAGAGAAAAACAAAATCTGAGGAAGAAAGAAAAATAGTTTTGAACACAAAGAAAGAAAACGAAGTGCTATATTCAGCGGTCCCCGGCTGCCTGCAAGTTCCCAGTGCCTGTAGGTTGGGTTAGGGACTGCTCCTGCCGGAGCTGTGTCCAATTTGTTAAGAGACTAAAGCCAGCCCATTTTTGATAATTTAGTAGGAGGAGTCCTCTCCCCGGAGCTGCCACGGATTTTTATTCAGACAACAAAGACCTGTCATACTCCTCTGAACCCCCTGGTGATGGGCAAGCAGGGACAAACATTACAAAGGGGTGGGGGGCTGGGGGGAGGCAGAAGGAGGGGGCCTTTACCCCCACCCCACACGCGCGCCTGCACACACACACACACACACACACACACACACACACAAGCACATATCCTTCCAAGAGTTCTCAACAGTCGTGTTTTAAAGGAGCCCTTAGTGTCTGAGTCCTAGACGGAGCTGGAGGGAGAGTCAACCTCATTTGCTCCCAGTTCATCAGTCCCCAGCCCAGATACATAAAAGATGAACTGCAAACCTTGTTTCCTTCTCGTAAATAGAGTTTTTAAAAACAAACAAACAAACAAAAACCCAGTTCACAAAGCCTGTCACCAGGAACGTGTGGAAGCCGCAGTCTTAGAAGCACTTCACGGAAACGGGGGTTTTTAACGTTTACTTCTTTCCTCCCCATCCCTTTCTGGACACTCGTTTGAAAACACTCTTCTGACGATAGTCTACTCGCCTCATGTCCCCGAGGGCAGGAGGCACCACCAAGCTCCAAGGCGTCCTCCAAGTGAAAAGGGGCGTGGAGAACCTACTTTCCGAGTATTACTTTTGAAGAGAGAAAAAATTACACACACACACACACACATACACACACACACACACACATATATATATATATATATATTATACACACACACGTAGTCTGAAATTTTCGAATTTTTGAGTATAGAGTTCAGGAGATGGTTTTGTAGACCTGGATATTCAACAAAATCTTGACCATGGAAAAATGACTCTTTTACCTAATTCTAGAGCGAAGGTAAACTAGTGGATGGAGATTGTAGTGTCCCGTCCCGTTTGGAATTTGTCACCTGGTGTAGGGCTCGGGTGAACTGGGCGCCCGACCGGGGTAGGATGAGGCATTGGCCGCTGGCGTTCGGCACACTTCGGTGGGTGTGAAAGGGGCTCAGGGTGGAGGCAGGGAGGTGAGAACTAACAGGCAGGACGACAGACTGCTCCTCACAAGAGATGGTATTGTTCAGTCGCCCTCTGTTCTTGCTAGCGCGGCCCTTCTCCTCCCTCTGGTACCATTAAAAAGTGCCCACAATACTCTGATATTGTGGACTCACTGAAACAGCCAGAAAAGCCCTAGGATTGTGGAGCGAGGACCAGCAACGGGAACTTAATCAGAAAGAGAAGAAAAGCCTGGCCGCTCTCATCCCTTCCTTCGTGGTCGTCAGCCTCTGTTTCCCCACCATACGGCTGCCTTGCCGGAGGTCATTGGAGCTTCAGTCTAGATACCCAGCGCAGCGGCACCGAGCAGGCCCGCCTCCTTCCACACTGGCAGTCCACGTGGAGCCTCAGCCCAATCTGGAGGGAAAGTCGAGAAGAAACTGGGGGAAATGGGTATCGGAGGAAGGGAAGAAAGGAAAGAATAAAGGATGGATGTTAAAGAGGGGGCGGCTTAGAATGGAGGGAAGGAAGTGAATGAGGAAGGAAGAGAGAAAGAGGGGGAGAAGGAATGCAGAGGAGGAAACCACCCTGGTGTAGCTGCTTAACTTCCTGTCCCAAAGCTTCGCCTTCTGAGGCTCCTGGGGTCGCCTCCTCCATGAAACTCAAGCCTGCACTGTTTCCCAACCTTTTTTTTCCCTCAGGGTCAAAATAATGTTCTTTGCAGACTGGACGCTTTTAAGGTCCTCTGGGTACCAGAATACAGCTCATAAAACACAATTTCACACAAAAAATGAAGCCAACCAAGTGAACTAAGCTGGAGAAACACTCCCCCCCCCCCCATTTTGGCAGCCCCACCTGACAGCAGGACGGCTATTTACTGTAAGTAATGTAATTAGCCCCTTTGGATGAAAATCAATGAGCTCTTCAAACCCACGTGCACACGCGAAGGGCCCCAAGGAGGGACTGGGGGCAGGGGCCCTTTCAGAGACAGCAGGTCCTCTCACAAAGAGGCAGATTGCCTTCACACAAGCCAGCAGTTAAACTGACTCAGGGCCCAAGGGGGGGGGGGTACAGGACCCAAAGAACTACCAAAGAACTACTCAATTAAACCCAAGGATGCTAGAAGCACAAAGTAAATACAAGATTGTCATCCACTTTGCCTAGTTTTTCCCCTACATCCTCCTTGATTTTCAAATAGGAGTGTTTGGAATTGATTTTTGCTTTTGGGTTTTGGTCCTGAACTGTTAAGCAAGAGCATTAAAACAAAAACAAAATCAAAAACAAAAACAAAAAACCGGACTTCGTGAAGGAAAAGCTTAAAAACACCTCTTTTTTTTTAAAAAAAAAAAAAAAGTCACAGCTTTGGGAAGAGTCACTAGGGAAGCTAGGCAATGACATCATGGAAGCCTGCATCCATCCATCCATCCATCCAATCCACTTCCTCTGTACAGATCTTTAAATCATCTATAAGGACCAGCCCAGTAGAGGATCTCCAGTAATCAGCTTCCTAGCTGAAAACAAGCTAGGACTGGTCTTGCTTATAAAACTAAGGTTCTAAGTTCCAGAGCCCTCAGGAATTGGCCACTTCCACAAATAAGTGAACTGCCAAGATTTTTCTTGCTCTGAGAATGCAGGAAGTCATTGGAAAGGTGGGAATGGGGCAGGGGTCCTGGAGTTTGGGAGGTCCCAGTTAGTTTTGGGGAAATAGCTTCCCATAGGTCCAGCCCACCCTCCTCTCACAGTTCCTTAAAAAGAAGCCCTAAAGGAGCAGAGGGGTAAGAGAGACCAAGAATTAGATGTGTCACAAGAATGTGCTAACCTTTTGTCCAAGAGTCCTAAGAACTGCTGAAGGGCCCATCTCCCCTCTCCTCTTCACTCCAAAAACTGTAAGTGCTTTAAATAGGAAACACATCCTGGCAGCTTTGCCAGGTTAAAAAAAAAAAAAAGCAACCTTTTACCCAGAAAGTGTTCTCTTTCTTTCAGGCTGAAGGGCTGGCACATGCTTCGTAAAAGTTAGAGCCCTGGCAAGTTCAATGCTAGAGACTTCACCTCCATTAATGGGACAGGTGCATGGTGGGAGGACTGTCTGCTCACTTTCCCAGTAGGACCTGGGGTCTTTCTAAATCCAAAGTTAGAGGTAGTGGGGCAGAGCCTTGACCTGGCACTGCCCACCCCTCCCCCACACTGCCAGCATAGGCAATCTAATGTGCTCTTTTCTGCTCCCTGTGTATTCATGGGGCTATTGTTACAACTTTCGGCTGAGTGGGACTCTGGATTCTAATGAGACAGAAGATTTTAGACTTAGGGTGTACCCGATTACATACAGCATTTCCACCAGCATTTCCACGAGGACAGAGGAGACTGACAGGCCATTGTCTGGACCCTGGCAGTTTCACTGGGAAAAGGTTTTAGGCTTAGTCTAACTCCTCAGAGGCCAGGAGGGGAAAAGTGGAGATGTCATAGGTTGCCCAAACAGCTGCATAGCTTTAGGCTTGAGAACAGAAAATAATCCAGCCCGTCATTTAGCTGTAAGAGACTCAAGGTCTCTTTAGACCTGGATTTTGGTGACCATTATCTAATGCTTGCAAGTTTGGTCATTAAAGTTAGACTATTTCTTCAGATCCTAAGAATACTGTTGTTTGGAAAGGCAAAGCTTTGAAGATCTTGTCTAAGTTTCAACATATGCCGGGTATCTCAGCAGCCAAGAGAAGTCAAAGGTGATAAGGAGCCAGGAGCCCTGTTTTCAATGGTAGCACCATCCAGACTTGAATGACCAGGCTTCTCCAGATAATAGGGGAGCAAATGGGCGGCAAGTCCCCAAGCCTTTCTCTGAATAGCCTTTCTCTGAGACAGATCTTTCTGTGAGCAAACCTTCCCCCAAATGATGCTGGCAGGTTCAGTTTGTTTCTGTTTCAGAGAGTCCCTCGGATTCAATCCTATCAGTAAAGCTTTTTCCAGACAAATGCAAGTGAGACTTCAGAGTTGTGACTGCAGGAACCAGGCAGCCTGGGAGACGCTGCTCCTGCTCACGGCTTGCCTGGCCGCAGCCCAGCTGCTGCACCCGCACTGTTGCCTGCTGCTCTCAGGGACAGACGTCTTCCCGGGATGGGGTCAGGGCCGGGCAAATCTGCACCCTGGTAGTGCAGGAGCACCTGCAGCCACAAAGGCCCATGTCAACTGTTCGCTATCTTCAAACCTATGTTCTTGAATCTAGGTCCCCACCTCCACCCCAACAGGGCTGTCTTCTCATCTAGAAGGTCGCGCTTCTGAAACATGAAGTCTCTTTACTTGAAGCTTGCTCTGCCGGTGGCCCTCAGAGTCTCCCCAGTAAATAATGAATTCTACACAGCGCAATGGATTAGGGATGAACAACAACAACAACAAGATGTCAATAAAACCAGTTTCCATTTCAGACTTTCAAGGTACTTGCTTCCAGCAGCTCCACCGAGAGTCTGTGCTTCTTCAGGCCCTAAGACACTCTGGCCCCTGCCCAGAGCCCTGATCCTAGACTGAAAGGAAAGTCAATGGTATTCAAGAAAAGACTCAAAGCATGGTGCGGGTGGGTCGAGGGGGCAGGTTCTGGGAAGTCTTGAACCAAAATGTTTTCCAGTCTCCAAAGCAAAACTCAATTTTAAGACAATTACGATCCTTCCTCTCAATAAAGGCATACTCATGGACTCACAGTGACTCTCTCTCTCTCTCTCTCTCTCTCTCTCTCTCACACACACACACACACACACACACACACACACACACACACACACCTGGAATACACGTGGACCAAAGCAAACAGCGGCAAAGAAATAGCGAGGAATCTGGTGAGAACTCACCTGCCTCTAAAGTGGTGCCGTTCAGCATCCTTAACGCCAGAGGGGTCGATCGCGCAGAGAACTGCGATTGTACTGTCAGAAGAAAACCTGGTGTGTCAGCTAGACATTACTGCCTGGGCTC